ATTTGCAGATTTGATGAGTTCCCCTTCTATTCCCTCATCTAAGTCATTTATGAAGATGTTGAAGAGTACTGAGCCTAAGACAGAACCTTGGGGTACCCCACTGCTTACTTCCCTCCATGTAGATGTTAATACCATTAAGGATTACATGTTGAGTATGGTTTGTCAACCAGTTACAAATCCATCTCATGGTGATGGTGTCTATCCCACTTTTTCTATCTTACCAAGAAGTAGGTTGTGGTCTTTGTTGAATGCCTTGCTGAAATCTAAGTATACTATGTCCACATATTTCACTGGTCTACTAATTTAGTCACTTTGTCAAAGAATGAAATAAGATTGGTTTGGCATGATTTGCTTTTAACAAACACATGCTGGCTTTTACGTAGTTATAACTCCATGTTATATAATGTTTCTAGGCATTCGCAGTCTGTTTTTTTATTATTTTTTCTAGTATCTTCACAGGTATTGATGTTAGGTGCTTGGTCTGTAGTTTCCTGGGTCTGTTGTTTTTTTTCTTTTTTGAAAATGGGAATCACATCGGCTCTTTTCCAATCCTCAGTAGTTCCCTGGTGCTTTAGGATTTTTGAAAGATATGGCACATTGGTTCTGAGACAAAATTTGCCAGTTCCATCAGTTATAAATAACTGATTTATATTCATCAAGATCAGATAGATGTTCTCTCACCATTTTCTTGCTTATTTTAATTTCTATTTCTATTCTGTCTTTTACAGTTATGTTTTTGGTAGGTTGGGCTATATTTTCTTTTTGCATGAGGACTGATAGAAAGAATGAGTTAAGCAGTGCTGCTTTCTCTCTGTTGCCTGTTACTTCCTTGCCATCTTCTCTTTTAAGTGAACCTACTGTTTCCTTGACTTTTTTCTTGTTATTTTTATGTTGAAAGAAACTTTTTTTATTATCTTTTATTTTTGTTGCAAGTCTTTATTCATTCTGAGCTTTTGTTTTCCTGTCTTCATCTTTGCAAATTTGGGCTATCTGCTGATATTATTCTGCCTTAATTATGTCTCCCTCTTTCCATTTTTTGTACTTGCTCTTTTGTCTTTCAGTTTATCATAGAGATCTTCGTGCAACAATAGTGGTTTCTTCTTGGATTTTTTTGTTTTTCTTTTTCAGTGGTATTATGTTGGACTGGGCTTCTACAATCATATTTTTCAGTGTTTCCCACACTTCTTGAGTTGTTTTCCCCTTTAGGATTTTTATCTATGAAATTTTGCTTAGGGTCTCTCTGAGCTTGTTAAAATCAGCTCTTTTAAAGTCTAAGACTCTGGTAATGATTATGTTCTATTGCTTGTGTTGCATTATATTGAATTCCAGTATGACGTGGTCATTCTCGGCCAAGGTTCTGTCATCTTCAACTCCCTCTATCACTTCTTCTCTATTAGTAGAATTAAGTCCAGTATAGCTTTTCCTCTAGTTCCCTCCTCTACCTTTTGGATGACAAAATTGCCAGCTATGTTGGTTAGGAATCTGTTTGATCTCCCACTTGATGCAGAGTTTGTCTCCCAGTTGATATCAGGATAAAGTCTCCCATTACTACTGTGGTGTGTTTCCTACATACATTTGTTAATTGCTTAGCAAAAAGTTCATCTATTTCTTCTGCTTGGTGGGTGGGCTGTAGCATACACAGGGGTGTCAGGGGTGTCAAACGTGGCCCGCGGGGCCAGATACGTCACGCACAGACCACACCCACCTCAGCTTCATGCAGGGAAAAACATCGTGAAACATCACGATGGCAACGTGACGCTGCAAGTTTGACACCCGTGGCCTATAGCAATGTCATTCTTCTTTCCTTTTATATTGACCCATATGGATTTTAGAAAGTTTTCATCCTTGGTTTTGTGGATTTCAGTACAGATGTAGTGATCTTTTATGTTTAATGCAACTCCACCTCTTCTTTTGTTAAATCTGTTTCTTTTGAATAGTTTGAATCCTTCCATCAGTACATTCCAGTCATGGCTTTCATCCCGTCATGTTTCAGTAATGGCAGCTATGTCATATCTGCCTTCATGTACTCATGCTTCAAGTTCACCCTGTTTCTTTCCTAAACTTGGAGTGTTTGAGTCCTTTGTGGGTCTTGGATATGTTTCTTTTATCTCCTATTTTGTAACTGGGTTTTTCATTCTTTCCTTCACTCTTCATTGTGTTTTTCTTTTCTTTTTTTCTTTTTCTTCTTTCTCTTTACTCCCTACCTGCTTATATGATTGGCTATCTAGTGGTTTTTGCTTGGAATAAGGTTCTAAAAGTCTTAAAGACTGCCCACGCTCCCACGCTCAATTTAAGTTTAAAGCCCTTCTGATAAGATGAGCCAGTCGTTTTCCGAATGTATTCTTTCCAGTTCTTGTGAGGTGCCCTCCATCCTGCCCTCCAGGAGCCCTTCGTGTAGATAATGCAGACCATGGTTTAGAAAGCCGAAGTATTCCCCTTTAGATGTTTTAGAGTTTATTGCCTATCATGTTAACATTTTTCACACATTGTGTTAAGCTATTGCTTGTGCAACAATGGCACACTGAAAACACCCCCACGATCCACACCTAGAGAACCTGAAACAAACTGTACTGCAACTTAGTTATTCGGTACATGCTCCTTTGTGTAAAAACAATTATTTTGGTGATGTAATCTCTTCTCTCTTTAAATATCACTTTTCCTGTACTTGCTATCCTCCAGAAACAACCGGAACCTCCTTAAAACACAGAGCCCTCCGAGAAGGACTAGTTGCTTGGAAACTGGCCGAGGTTGCCATGAGGCCAGCAGCCTCTGCAAGGAAGGTGAGCTGAGCCGAGCCGAGTCTTGGCCGAGCTCCTCTGCAACGGGTGCTGCTGAGCCCCAGAGCTGGTGAGGAGCAGGCCGAATCCTGCAAGTCCCTTGGGGGGCCGGATGGCAAACTAGGCCTCGGCCTACAGGCCGCCCTCCATGTGCCGGTTGCTTTGGCTGACTGGCATTAGGCTCCCTTGCCTGGCCGAGTGGGCAGCTGGGAGCAGACCAAGGCTTGTGGGGGAGGGAGGGAGGGTGTAGGGGGTGCTGCAAAGTCTCACGGTCACCTGTAAGGGTGAATAACAGCCAGGACACAGCAGTGGCCAAAACTTCTAAAGCGAGTCCTAAGTCCATTTTTATGTATACAGGTAGTCCTCGACTTACAACCACAATTGAGCCCAAAATTTCTGTTGCAAAGCGAGACAGTTGTTAAGTGACTTTTGACCCATTTTACAACCTTTCCTGTCACAGTTGTTAAGTGAATCGCTGCAGTTGTTAAATTAATAACCTGGTTGTTAAGTGAATCTGGCTTTCCCCATTGACTTTGCTTGTCAGAAGGTCTTAAAAGGGGATTGCAGGACCCTGGGACACTGCGACCGTCATAAATATGAGGCACTTGCCAAGCATCTCAATTTTGATCACATGATCATAAGTCATCTTTTTTTCCAGTGCCATTGTAACTCTGAACGGCCACTAAACGGATGGTTCTAAGTAGGGGACCTGTATTTTTTCTGTTATGCATCTCCAGAGCCCTTGAATTAATTACATTTCTTTTCTCTGGCTCTCTTGATTTAGCTGCTTTGCAAAAACAGCTCCCGGCCTGTTAACTGCCCCCTTCCTGTTCCCGTCCCCCCCCCCGCCCCGCTTTTGCACCCCCTTCCCCTCAATTGGGCCCTCTATAAATAGAGACCTCCTCCTGGAAGGCATGCCAAGCAGGCGAGCGGTGGCTGGAGCCAAGCCTATTCTTAGCCTTTTGGCACAGGGGCCTCTGTAGCCCCAAGGCGCCACCCTCCCTCTCCTCTTCTTCCATTAAGCCCATGCCTCTTCTCCTTCTGGGCACTGGGGAAGCCCCATATTCCATCCCAAAGGCTCCACTCCGTTGAAAACATTTTCATGGGCAGACTGAAAGTCAGCAGGTGGGAGTAATGTGCATCCAGAGCATTGGCCGCCCATGAAAGAGCTGTGTGTGTGTGTCCCTGTTCCAAGGCACCCGGCTCTCCCCCAAGGATGGGGAAACCCGGCCCCGCCGTCTCCTGCTGCTTGGTCAGGCTGCCTCCCTGGCAGAGCTCACCCTGCAAACCTGCTGCAGGCGAGCCAGGTTCAGGACACTAGCAAAGCAGGGCCCGGAGGGGCTGACCCCCAGGACTGCTAAACTGAGCAGGGTAAAGAACAAGCGGATGGTGGTTGTGGGGTGTTCAGAGAAAGTTATTGGGGCCCTGATGAGCCCAAGGACGTGGGGGGGGGTGTCCCTCAGTTTCAGCCAGATGGAGAAGAGGGGGACATGGCCCAGGGTGCTCCGGTGGCCCCAGCATCAAAGCCAGATGTTGCATGTAGATGGCACCAAAAGGGATGGGGCTTCGATGACACCTTTATGGCAATCGTTTTGATCCTCCTGACGAGACCCCCCTGCTCCAGCTATAGGCAGTCCTTGACCTGCAACCGTTCATTCTGTAACCATTCAAAGTTACAATGGCGGTGCACGAATGGTGGTTATGACCTGTCCTTGGAGTTCTGGCCATCCCAGCAGTCCTGCATTCTTGTGATGGGGGTGCTTGGTAACTAGTACTCATTTACAACCATTTGCTGCAGAATCACATTTCAGCTAACTGGCCTGGGTTTGCAGCACACCCAAAGACACACGAGAACCACCAGGGGCTGGGTACTGTGTGGATGTAGCCACAGGACTTACACCAACCGGTTCTGAGGAAATATTGGTGGTGAGGTCTTGGTGCAAGATTGCAGAAGGATACCCTGTACCCAAGATGCCCTGAGAAGTGGAGAATCAACACTAGGGGTCCATGGGCTCTCTTGAATGGAGCAGATCCACAGCCGGAGTTGGGTCTTTGACCACAATAGTTGTACCTGGGAGAGATATTTCTCAGAACAAGGAGGATAGCTCAGGTTTTATCTGTTGGGGAGGTAATACTTTTCCCCTTGTTCTACATGCTCCTAGACCTTGTTTTAAAGATACATTGGCAGGTGACCCAGGACAGTGAATAAAACACAAGGGAAGGTGTGGTAACAGAAGGTTTACTACAGACAAACTTCCATCTAGTCAGGCAGGTGTGAAGGTGTTTCATTCACAGTCATGAAGATGAAGAAGCAGAACACTGACAGCAAAATTCTTTCTGCAAAAGGAAAGAATGCACTCCTGAGGCAGTGAGTTCTGTGGGGAAATTGTTTCTTGGATCTTTTCCCAAGAATAAGGTGCAGTCATACTGAAAGTGGAAGAACCTTCATTGGGGACACCTGCTTGGGCAGGGGTTTGGACTAGAAGACCTCCCAGGTCCCTTCCAACCCTAGGAGCCTTTGATTCCATTCTGGTCTGAGGCTGTGGATGGAGAGCTCTCAGAAGCTCTTGGAAGGAGGCGATGGCTTCCACTTTTGAAATTTAATATATTTAGAGTGAACAATTTGTTCAGACTGCCCGCTGAGTCTCCAGGAGTCGGGATTTGAGCTGCGGCCATCTGCTTCTGGCCACAGCCTGCAGCCTCAAAGCTTGGAAAGGAAAAGGACAAAATCCTTTGTGTGCTCTTCTCCTTCCCCCAAAGGGAGCCCAGTGTTGTAAAGGGAGCCCTGTTCCCCTTCTTGCTTGTGGAACACCGTGTGACTCTCGCATGGAGCCGGACATTTACTCAAGGCCCATTTTTGCATTCAAACTCAGAGCCAAAGCCCACTTTCCCCACTTTTGCTCCTGCCTGGCTCACAGGAAAGATTACATCCGGAATGGGTGCCCAGAAAATGCCACATCTTAGGCCCCACATGACACGTGAAGTCGCTCCATGTGCTTGGCACAAGGCAGCTTCTGTGGCTATGAATATGCTTACACACACCTCAGAACTCCTTTCCCAGCAGTGGCACTTTGGAGGGGAGGACAACGAACAGCCCCTCCCCCTGTGGCCAGAAGAGATGGGAGGGGGGAGAATTTCCCTCAAATGATGAGCCTCTGCTGGCTCATCATGGGGACTTCAGGCTCCCCTCAGCTGAATGCTTCAAGCTGGTCTCTGCCATGTAACCAGCGACAAATGGCTTTTTTGCAAACAAGAGAACGTTGCAAGAACATCTTTTGACAAGGCTTCCATGGGCCTCGTCAGCAATTCCTGCATGCTGCACTTGCGAGAGTGTGACGTATGTCAAGTTCACCTAGCATTTTCACAAGAAAATGTCCCCAGATGCAAAATGATCCCGTTTTGGAGGAAGAAAAGGCTAGTTCTATCTTGAAGCACTCTTAGTTACAGGAGGGACACCAAAAAGCCCCTGGAGATGCTCTGAGGGCCCTGCAGGAGGGTGTGGGACACAGCTATTGTGCTGGTGGGGAAGAGCATAAAGTGCAACATGTACAGGCAGCAGCAGATCCTTCGTGGACCATCACAACACCTTTGGTTCTAGTCATCCTAGAAGTTGGCACTCACCAACTGAGACTTCATTCTCTACCAAGGGCTGGTCCAGCCCAGGCCACTACTTGCTGTCCTGAGCTGCCTTTCTTTGTCCTGAGAGCTTGTACTTCTGGGCAACCCCATAAGGAACATGGGCGGCGACAGTGCCCATTTCCTTTGCTCCCTCCACGTGAAACATCTGGTCATCAAAGAAGACATGTGGTCGGATCTTCTCCAGCAAGGGGCCTTTGGGTGCGCCGGCCAGGAAGAGGGCCTCGTCCGTTTCTAGTCCCCAGCTCCGGAGAGTCTTTAGGGCTCGGGCCCCGGAACTGGCAGCGCTTCGAGCCGTGACCAGGTAGGTGCGGATGGGACATTCCAGGCGGAGGCCTTTTGTGTAGAACTTCTTCTGAAGCTTCCCCAACACTTCCAGGAAGCCCTTCAGTGGCCCCTGGACAGAGGAACACACAGCATCAGCCCCAGCATGTGGCCCACTCCCCAGGGAGTCAGGAAATGGGGACCAGCTCAGGCACAGCACCCTCGGAGAGGCCCCGGGACCAGAAGCTTCCCTGCCCTCACCCCAGCCATGCACAGATACCCTCCTGTTCTTTGAATTTGCCAATCCTCCTTTGGGTCTAATATAAGCTGTTATACTGAAATGGTGTTGCTGTCTTGCGTCCTGCTTTAATACTGGCTTTGTTTGCATTTAGAATGTTTTTTCTCACTTTGTTCTATCTAAAGTGTTTGTTAGCAGGGCAGCCATAAAAATCATGCTCTCTCTTGTGGCAAAAAAAATAACGAAAAGATTGCTTTGGTCACAATATCACCAGTCCCTGAATCGCACCTGAGCGAGAGGCTTGTTCACATAAGTCTTCTCGTGCTCAAAGAACTTGTCTAGGCCGTGAGCCTTCACGATCTGCTCCGACTCATCGGAAAACAGCACAGCATCTCCGTCAAAGGCGACACGAAGCTGCTTCTCTGAGACTTGCACATCTTTCATGGGGGTGAAAATAGTGGCAGCTGCAATCCCTGGGAAGGGAGGGAGGGAGGGAGGAAGGAAAACAGCCTTCAATTCCTGTTGCCTGATGCTCTCCAGTTGGAGCAAGAACTTCACAGACTTCAGTGGGTCTATTTAATGCTAGTCTGGGGATAACTACAGAGTTTGGGAAACAGTAAAAGGAACTTCCAAGTCTCGTTTATAATGGCAAAATCTCTGAATGATTTGTGAGATCAGCTGTTTCCCTTTCTGTATCCTCTCCTTCCATCCCTCTGCCATCCTCCCCACCACTTCTCACATCTGGCAGGAGGATTCCCTAAAAGTCTCTTTCCTGGCAAAGTGTCCCCTAGATATTTAAGCTTCCAACTCTTTGGGACTTAGCAGCTGGTCAATGCCTTTGATCAGTCTTGTGCCACTGAGCCAACAAGATCCTCACATTCTTCCGACTGGCAGAAATCCCAACCTGAAGAGATTTTTCTAAGCAACCTGATTCTGATAAAGCAATCAAACCTCAGTTAAAGGTTAGTTTGCCCCACGAAGGCCTCTCTTATATGCTAAGAGATTGCAACAGATGTTTCACTGCTGTTTCTGCTGGGACTTAGAAAGCTAACAAGCATATAATGTCTTGTGTAGTGAGGGGGACCAGTAAATCTTTTTTTTTTATTATTCTGATTCTTGGAGACTGCCTGGACAAGTCCCTGCAATTTTCACGGCAATTCAGAAATTGGTTTGACATTGCCTCCTTCCTGGGGCCAGGAGAGAGTGACTGGCCCAAGATCACCCAGCTGGCTTTGTGCCTAAAACAGGACTAGAACTCACAATCTCTTGGTTTCTGGCCTGATGCCTTAAGTGCCACACCAAAACGACTCTTCATAAACGTAAACAAACGCAACTAAATGGCTCACAAGACTGTATGAGTAAAATCACAACAGTCATGATTCCTGGAGTAACAAGTGGTAAAGTTGGCCTTGCTTTAGAAAACGTGCGTCCCCACAGGTACCTTCTTCCCCACCCTGAAAGTCCAAAAGGCCCCACAAACTTCTGCTACACTTCCGCCCAACAGCATCACTCACCCTCTTCTAGGGCCTCACTCACTTTCTCACAGTCCGAGGATAAGTAGAGGTTGGTGTGGTAGGCCTTCAAGTAGCAAATGGGGCTATTCCCGCCGGTCATACAAAACCTCTCAATGAAGAGATCTGGGAGGAAAAGAAGAAACGCTTCATCGGTAAACGGGAACCAGCCATCCCCAGGCTTCTTTGTGGATGAGAATCCCTGGCCAGCACGTCAGGAGGACACCATGGTAAGAACAGAGGAGGATCCTGGACGTACCTGAAGAGTTGCCAAAACTGACCATGTTTAATGTAATAGCACAAGCATTGAAGGAGACGGGGAGAGTTAAGCTGGGCAGAAATTTGGCAGTACAGTTCAAAAAGAAGAACGCCCTATAGTGGTATCTTGGTACTCGGCTACTTTGAAACTCATCAAATTTGGGACTCAATGCATTTTGACATTTGTTTGGTACTCAACACAAAAGCTAGAACCTGTCGGTGTTAGCTGCCTTGTGATTCATCATATTATTCCTTGTGGGAAAAAACAGTTTAGTACTCAACATTTTTGGTATTCATCGTGCCTCTTGGAACTAATTAACTATGAGTACCATGATATCACTATATATTAAAAACCTCTGAGAGGCTGTGGGTGAAAGCCAGACTCCTAAGTAGTTGCTCCTGCAAAGAGCTGCTTCTTGGTGTCCAAGAAACTGTTTCCTATTGAGCCAGCAGAGTTGTTACACATAGTGTGGAACGAATATAAGGCAGCCCATTTCCAGAGAATAAGCTCCCTAAGGGAGTGATGAGGTAGGGCTTCCTCCTGGCTCTGTGGAGGGCTGTACAGGTGGACAAGCCTTCCAAGCACTGAGCCCACTGCCCCATTTGATGGATATCGGTGAGGGGATTAGTGGCTGGGCGGATGTTGGCGAGGGGTCTTTCCTTCAGGTTACTTACTGTAATGGTTGATGCTGTTGATCAAGCGAACGCCCACTTGCGCATGGTTGTTGGTCACAAGGACAATGTCAAAAAGTTCCTCACTGTCTGGGAAGAGTTCCCGCAGCTGGCTATTGACCGATTCCAGAGCCTGGAAATCCAGGGAGAGAGAATCGTTGGACCAGGGAGGCAACATGTTAACTTAAGGGATCGTCAGATAAGAAGGGCTCAAACTGTCCGTGGTTGACGTTGGCCCAACTAACAATCATCTCCAGCAAGGATGGGAGTACTGCCCTCCAAGGGCCACAGGGAGCCTGGGGATGGGCAGAAGAGCAAGAGGGGGGAAAGCCCCAGACTTTGCGTCTGGGGAAATGGCTGCAAGTGCTGACTTCTCTCCCACCCCCCACTGCGGACCAATATTTGCAATGTTGACATGTGTGAACGTGAGCAAAAGAGACCAGACCTTGACAAAAGGGAAAGCTGCTCCGGGCAGGAAGGGCTCCTCCTCATGCTCCAGCTGATACTTCACGTAGGCCTCCACGCCCTGCTCAGTGTAAATCTTCTGCTCTTCCTCCATGCAGAACAGGGCTCGGGAGGACACGGCAATGGTGATGGCATGTTGCGGATTTGGCTGCAAAAGAAGAGCGGTGGTTGCATCCCCTGTAAGAGAGGGCAACTGTCCTTGATGACAGGGAGCGTCCTTTGAGGGACTGGGGGTTCTTCGCCTTGAAGGCGAGGGGGTCAGTTAGGTCAGCTTCCCTCAATGACTCATTTTCATAATTAGCTACATTTCAGTTTGTCCAGCTTCCATATTGGTTTGATTGTTTTGTAAGGTTCTGGTGACCCCCCAGAACCTTACACCACCGGCTAGAGGGAGAGAGCCATCCTTGCCAACTGTTTCCTCCTCCTGCTCCTCGGTGCTGTGCTTCTTCTCATGCTGGGAGAAAGTGGGAATGTAGGCTTCACCGCTTGCCCTGTGTGGCTGGGCCAGCAGACACCCATGTCAGCACTGGGGCTCTTCTGGGCTCTGCCTGGTCCTCCAGTGCTGGCCCTCTGTTGGCAAACTGCTTCCTCCTCGTAAACGGCTCTTCTGCCCATTTCCTTTTGCTCCTCTTGGGTCCATCAGAGGAGCTCAGCCATGAAACCTGCTTGCCAAGGAAAAGCCCAGCATTTCCAACTCGGACAACTTTTCTCCTGCCTTCCCAAGCCTAGTTTAACCTGGCTGGGTTGGATCCACTCTATTCTGACTCCTTTCAGGTCTGCCTGCATATCAGGGAGCTGGGAGAAGCACCTTGTTCACACGTCCACCCAGTCTCTGAGGCCTGGAGAGAACGACCAGCCATTCGCTGGTTGCCATTCCTAGCCAATTGCTAGGTGCAGAAAACCAGCAAGACTCCCTTGGTTGGCAATGTCTGCCCCCCTCCCTGCCTTCCCTCAAATAAAATGGAACAAATCCCCCATATTTTTGTGCTTGGCCAATGAACCAAGGCCCTGTCGCTGGCAGTGCTTAGTCACCTTCATCCAATCAGATTGTCTCCCCCCCCCATGTGTGTGTGTGTTTAGTGGTGATGGGGAGGATCGTTGTTACTGAGGAGCTAGTGGCATACTTTGATTTCTCCTTCGTATTAAGAAAAGTCAGAGCTCCTTCTGAGCTAGCTAGCTTGTCCTCCGCTCGTTTGCTGACAATGGAGAAGGTGGGGAACCTTCACATGACTTCAAAGCTTCTCTTGCTGTGAAAGCCAGAGATTTCCTTCCCATCCGAGAGTTGAGCAACACCCAGACAAGGTCAGTCTTGCAGCCTCCTGAGCATAGCAGGGCCATGAAGTCACGGTGCCAGCTTTTCATAACAATCCTGGGGTTGTGTTGTTGGTGGGAAGTTCTGCATGAAACTTGGCATAAGGTACTGCTGAGAAACTGGCTGCCTGCAGGGTATCTCTGCTGTCGTTATTAAGGAGTTCCCGGCAGCTTGTAAGAGAGTTGGATATTATCTTGCTTGGTATGTAGGCTTTGATGTTATGCATCTATCTATTTTGGGGGCTAATAATAAAGCTTCAAATCCCTTTAGTTACTGGAGTGATCGTTGTTTCTGGATCCAAAAGAACCAATTGCCTGAGCACCTAATTACTGCCCTGACACTTGGCAAAACAGTGTGTGGCGCGTGTGTGTGTGTGAGAGAGAGAGAGAACACCAAGGACAACATGTTGCCATTTCTAAGAGACATTTGCCACATAAATTTCCCCCACCTTAAAGACTTCACTTGCACAATACAGCCAAACTCTTTATTATTTGCAAGCTTCTGCTTGTGAAGCCATGTAATCCACAGTGGACTCATTGCACATAACTGTCAGGATTGGGCCTTTGTCTGAGCCACAAGATCAAGTCAGACTTTCTTGCAAGACTACACAACTCTGGAGGAGACACACAAGGCCCATTTCCTAGATGTGGGAGGTGGCACAGTGATTAGAGTGCAGCACTGCAGGCTACTTCAGCTGATTGTTAGCTGCAGTTCGGCAGTTCAAATCTCACCAGGCTCAAGGTTGACTCAGCCTTCCATCCTTCCAAGGTGGGTCAAATGAGGACCCAGATTGTTGGGGGCAATAGGCTGACTCTGTAAACCGTTTAGAGAGGGCTGGGAAGCTCTGGGAAGCGGTATATAAGTCTAAGTGCTATTGCTATTGCTGTGTGAACTGCCAGGCCAGTTTAAAAGTCCCGAGCAGACCTAACATATTCTCCCAGTTCCCCAAAATCAAACTTTGAAATATGATTCTGCCATTAAATATTCCTGTTGGATTGTTCCAACTCTTCATAGTGCAGCTCTTCATAGACTCCCCAGGAGAGATTTCATTTGACAACTGAAATGACAACTTGGGAGCTACAAAGTGCTAAGTAGCAAAACTAATGTTTTTGTGGTTCTTATGAGGATGCTGGGTGATTAATTTATGAGCGTAAGTGAGCCTTTCTATGTGCCTTTGCCCCCTGCCACGGGCAGAATTGGTTGGGTGAGGAGTCCCAGGGCCAGCTGCTCAGGCAGGCCTTCCCTGGTTCAGCATTACACTGCAGGCTACTTCAGCTGACTGCTAGTTGCAGTTCGGCAGTTCAAATCTCACCGGCTCAAGGTTGACTCAGCCTCCCATCCTTCCGAGGTGTGTCAAATTAGGACCCACTCAAAACTTATGGGATACAACAAAAGTTTATATAAGAGATTTATCAATAGCATATACAATAAGGAAAAATAGAAATAAAAAGAATCAACTTGTAGAGCTCCAAGGAAAATTAGAAAAAGCAGAATCTAAATTACAGAAAGAACCCCAAAACCAAGAAATCAAAGTATAAAAAGAGTTAATTAAACATAAATTACAATTAATAACCCAAGAAGAAGTAGCACAAAAAATTAGAGCAACTAAACAAAATTACTTTGAAACTGCCAATAAGCCCAGAAGATAAATTAAAAAAAGAAAAGGAAAAGAAATTAATAAAGCAGCTAGAGGATGAGGATGGAATAGTGCATCTACAGGAAGTAAAAAAGAAAAGTATAGCAGTAAACTTATTTTCAAAAACTATACAGTTCAGAAAAATTTGAAGAGGAGAATATTCAAATATACCTTCAAAAAAGGAACCTTCCCAGAATACCAGATATAACAAAAGAAATATTAAACGAGGAAATAATGAAACTGGAGATACAAAGAGCAATTCAAAAGCAAAAAAATAATAAGACTCCAGACCCAAATGGAATTCCCACTGATTTTTATAAAACATTTCAAGAGTCATCAGAACAGCTGCTATTAGAAACATTTAATGAAGTACTGAAAAAGGCCAGGATACCAGAATCCTGGAGGGAATCATTAATAACTCTCATCCCCAAAAACAATAGTGAACAACAGAAGATACAGAATTATCGTCCAGTCTCATTGCTAAATGCTGACTATAAAATATTTATGATCATAATAGCAGATAGAATTAAAAATATACTGAATGAAATTATACATTTGGACCAAAATGGATTCCTACCCAACAGATATATAAAAAACAATATAAGAATTATCATTAGAATATTACGAAGCTCATCCCGAAAAACAGGTAGCTGTGGTCTTCTTGGATGCACAAAAAGCTTTTGACAACTTAAACTGGGACAATTAATAAGAATGAATATTGGAGAAAAATTTATGATTAGAACCATATTCACTATACAGAGGGCAAAGATATTATTAATGGGGAACAAACAGAAAGTTTTGAAATAACTAAAGGAGTAAGGCAGGATTGCCCGCTGTCTCCTCTGTTGTTCATTCTGTCTATGGAGACATTAATGTCCTAAATTAGAGATAATTCAGAAATAAAGGGATTAAAAATTAAGTCACAAGAATATAAGGTCCAAGCATTCGCAGATGATGTGGCATTTATTATTGAGGAACCTTTAGAAACTGGGCCTATTTTACTACAAGACATAAACCAATTTGGTGCAATAGCAGGATTTAAAATGAATAAAGACAAAACTAAAATATTGACTAAGACAAGAGTGAACAACTAGAGGAGGAACTGGGAATCTTGAGAACAAAGAAAATTAAATACTTGGGAATTTGGCTATCAGAAAAGTGTACTACCATAAAGAGGGACAATTACGATACACTCCTATTACAAATACAAAAAGATTTGGATAACTGGACTAAATTATCAATATTATTAACTGGCATAATTTCAACGATAAAAATTAACATATTGCCCAAGTTACTATATTTATTTCAAACAGTACCAATAACATTAGGGAAAAAATTTTTTGAACAACTGAATAAATTGACATCGAAATTCATATGGTCAGAGAAAACTGCATAAAATTCAAATTATTGCAAGATAGTAGGAAAAAAGGAAGTTTCAGTTTACCAGAATGGGAACTTAACTATCAAGTGGCATCCCTAACATGGCTCAAAGAGTAGATACCAGTGCTGTGGAGTCGGAGTCAGAGTCGGAGTCGAGGAGTCGGAGTCGGAGGAAATTTTGGGTACCTGGAGTCGGAGTCGGAGTCGGCAAACAATGCACCGACTCCTACTAAATTTAGATTGGAATTTTAAAAAAAGCAAGTTTAAATGTCCCAATTCACAAAAAGTTATAATTAATGACTTCTCTACTGTAAGAATAAAGACCGGAGTCGGAGTTGGGGAGTCGGAGTCGGAGTTGGAAGTACAAAAAACTGAGGAGTCGGAGTCGGAACATTTATCTCCCGACTCCACAGCCCTGGTAGATACAACTTAAAAATAAGAGGATATTAACGATAGAAGGCCATGACCTTCAACTCGGTTGGCATGGCTTTTTATGGGATGGGAAAAAATAAATCAGACTTATTTTCAAAATCATAAGATAAGGGATGCACTACTGAGAGTATGGGAAAAGATTAAAAAGAATCATTATATGAAAGTCCCAGTTTGCTTGTCTACAACGGAAGCAATGATACATCCAAATACCACAGACCTAGATAAAATGGTGAGATACGCAGATTTATTAGACACAAAAGGAGAATTAAGATCAATACAAGATTTGAAAAAACAAGGAATAAATTTGGAATGGTGGCCATATTTACAAATCAAAACTAGATTTTAAAAAGATAAGGAACAATTTGGCATAAACAGGAAACAATTGGAA